AAACAAAGAGAGAAGAGTTGAATGAAGAAGTTTTGAAACACCTGCTCAGTCTCCAATGCATCACAGTCAGGAACAGCCCATTGTCATCAAAGCCCAGAGACTTCCCAGAGACTTCCAGTGGCAGCAGAATCAATAGGCAGTGTAAAGCCATGCATACATTAATATTAAATGTTCTTAAATCTAAGAATAAAATAGCAATCTTTCTGGTGACTAAAAGACAGAAAAGTGTTAAAATGCATATAATTTATATCTGCAAAAATATCCTTAATTTAAAACTAACATAATAGTTTTTCTTTTCCCCCTGCAAATCAAGGAAGCTATTATTGACCCTACAGTGTCCTTGATTTTTTTTCCTGCCAGTATTTGATTCCTGGCAACTTCTATCAAAGGACTACTGAAGAAAACAATATGGGCATACAAAAAAAAAAAAAAAAAAAACCAAAACAAAAAAAACCCAAAAAAACCCCAAAAAGACAGAATCAAGTGTCTAGCTGACAAAGAGTTTAATTTTTTAATTTCCTTTCAACTCCTAAACAAAATGCAGTGAACTTTCTCCAGCAAATGTAGTTTTAAAGAAATAAACAATGATTTCAAACATAGTCAAACATACCTCTATTGTTTCAGCATCCAGCAATAGTGTTAATTTATATGCATTTTCAGGAGAAGCAAGAAATCATCTGATGACTTTAAGATTCTTGTAAGTAGTGTAAAAACTTATATCTGGGGATACCACACAGGACAGAAACTGGAAAAAATATTTTATACATTAATTCCAGCATGCAGACATAGTGGATTTTCCCATCCAAAAATTCAAAAAGAAAAAGGAAGATGACCTAGGGAAATTAAGTTAACATAAGTTCCAAGCAAAATCATGGAGAAATTAATACAAGACTCAGCTGATAGCCAGTGAAGGATGCAATTAATGCCATCAACACAGTTTTATGGAAAATATCCTTAGGGATCTATGGTTTGGAGTAAACTACAGATATGTAATGTAGTGTAGTATAGTATACACAGACCTTGCTGAAGTGCTCAGTTAATCATTGCAGGGTGTTCTAATAAAAACTGGCTCAAGTAAGTGGATTTGATGAATTTACAGACTGGCAGACACAAATTTATTGAACTACCATAACTGAAATAATTTTGTTTCTAGAGATTCTTTATCATCAAAGTAAATTAGATCTGATACAGCTCAATAGTTTTCATTAGTGATCCAAAAGTATTTTTCAAAACTTGGATGATCAGATTTTCAGATGACAAAGATGAGCAGAATAAAAAATATTAAGACAGACAAGCAGTCATAGAAAATCACAGAGACAGTCTGAGAGGGATGAAATTTTCATTTTAAGAGGTTTCAGTGTAAAGCACTGTATTTAAACACACAGATTACAAAACAAGCTTAGAAGATGACAACATCCATCCTGGCGCAATAACTCAAGGAGGACACTGCCACAATATTCACAAATCCTACTCTGAAGCCTCTGTGTCACAGTATGATAGAAAAACAAGTCCTGCAGCAGACTTCAAGGGCCTGAACACCTTATGTACTGCTCCAGTGCTTCATAAACACAGAACAAAAGACAGCATCCCTTATCCCCAGAAATTAAATAGCACAGATGCAAGAGATGCAAATTTACTGACAAGTGAAAACAAACATTCACATATCCCTGTAGCATTCATGTGGGTCTGCTGCAGAGGCCAATTAAAACAGCAAAACAGGTAACAAATCAAACATCACATGGGGAAAAGGGCAAGCATGACGGTCTGAACCCTGCTGCATTTCATGACATTAATGATCCTGGCTTCTGGGAAGGTCTGGGATCATGTGCAGAAGCAGCAATAGATGCTTATGGACAAGGATCAACTCTGACAGCAACAGCAGTACATTTCACAAATGGAAATGATGAATGCGGAGAGGAGGTTTGTGGATTAAATGCATGGCACTTTTTTATTTCTGCACCTCTAACCCCTTGGCTAATCCCACCTTGAAAAGGTTTCTCTGTGTTCTTCTCCAGGGGAAGGTGCAGGAGCTAGCTCTGATCCTGACTAAAGAGCATCTCAGCTAAAGTACAGTGGGAGTCTTCAAGGTCATCCCCAGTTCTGGCTCTGGCAATAAGTCAGAGCAATCTAGGCTTGTTCTAACCTGTGACAACCAATTAGGACCAGCAAGGGACCACTGACCAGCAGAGATTTGACATCTGTATGAGACACCTCCCCATCCCTCTCTTACTCATCCTCCTAACATGCCTTCTCCTTGGAGTCCTACATTAGTGTTCTGGTTTGAAAGCAAAACCAGTGAGAGACTCTAAGTCAGAAATACAATTTATTGGGAAAAGGGGAAAAGGCCAAAAAATACACGTAATGATACAAAGGGAAAGACTACCGACAAAGTCAGAATACAACCTGGCCAGCGTGCTGGTAGAAGTCTAAATTGAAGTAGCTGCAGTCCTCTTGGGATGGCAGATGTAGCTGCTGTGTCTTCTCGGAGAACCTGTGAAAAGGCTGCCCTTCTGTCTAGAAATCCCCAGTTTTATCCAGGGAATGCCTAGCTCCTCCCCCCTGGGCAGAGTATCTTACAATGGGTGATTATGAGTCACGAGATGTGTCCTTAATCACCTGCTCCTGGATAGTGTTATCTCTGAGTCATGTGGCAAGGCATTGATGTGGCTATTAACAGCAGATAAGGAAAACTGCCCCAAGGCAACTCCTACTCAGATGGTAATAGGAAAACTTTTTTTTTTAAATCTTGGACAATTAGTAAAAGAATGCTGGCAGTGCTCCAATGTATGTAAAGGACCTTGATGAATGTAAAGGACAAGCAGAGGGATCAGGCAGAAACACATTTTGCTATTTCAGGACTCCTACCTGAGGGGTGGGAGGCAGCAATGGCCACTTCCACAGAAAAACATCACTGTGAAGATCTGCCTACAGCTCAGGAAAAGATTGGGAAAGCTGCTGTCTCTGGAATACCTAGCAGGGTTTTGATTACCCAAACTAATTTTTGGTCAGCAATTCTTTGCTAATGCAACAATCCTTCCTGTCGTACCATGCATACCAGTGGGAGTTCGTAGCCTCTATATACAAGCTGCTGAACAGAAAAAAATACTCTTGCCACCTTATTTTAACGAAAAAGCCACCAAAAGCTAAGAGGCCAGAAAAATCTTTACGTTAGAAAGCAAGAATATTTGCAAATTCTTGTTTAAAATCTATACCCTTCTGTTTCACGAAGACCCAAGTCGTTACCTACTTCAGGCACACAGAATACATTCTGTGGACAGTAGAACTGAAAGCTGCTGTATTGTAAATAGGATGCCACCAAATGCCTCCAAACACCTCGCTCTAGCCTGCACTGGTCAGTGAAGTCAGCAGGGCAGCACTGTGCCACGTTTATCTGGAATAATGTTTGAAGGTGCCTTATGCCATCTCCCTTGTGTTGGTGATAGCCACAATGCTGTCCCCATGCTCATTTCTTGGCTCAGACACTGGAAGTACAAAGATGCCATGTCCTCTGAACCCTGAGATCTTTGCATAACAGCACCTCATCCCT